GTTTCCTCCTTCGCGAATGCGAAGGATCTCATGCGTTCGCGAAAAGGAATTTTGAGGCTGCTGGGATTTGGCCTTCGCGAACGCGAGGCAATGGACGTGAACGCAAGGCAGAAGCTGGGAAGCCTTCGCGAATGTGAAGCAGTAGGGCCCGAAGGTATCGCGAACACGGCCTAGCTGACGCGAACACGAAGAGGGGATTGGAGGTAGTGCATGTTTGGGCTTCGCGATCGCGAAGGAGGGTCGCCTGGGCAGTGAAGTTTTAAAAACAGGATTTTGGCCATTTTCATTTCATTTCCTCCATGGGAGCCGATCTTGGAGCGATTTTGGAGCACCATTTTCAGCATCAATCACAGGTAAGTGATTCCCACCTATTTCAAGTCAAATACATGGTATATATATGGATTTAAACATGGAAATTAGTAGAAATTTGGAGTTTGAAGAAAAACCTAGAAATATGTATTTTTGGATTTTGACCACGAATCTGTGCATGGAATTGGGAACAAATTATAAATTTGAGTTCGTGAGGTTATGGGTAATGTTTATCTTCGAAAATTTTCGGAATCTGGGCATGTGGGCCCGAGTGTTGATTCTATCGACTTTTCGACCGGAGTTGGAAACTTGTTTAAATTGATTAATTATGGGTATTAGAACACGTTTTGATTGGTTTGCACATTGGTTGTGTAGTTTTGGACCGTCGAGCATTGGTTTGAGGTGTCAGAGTGGCGTCGGAGCTAGTTATGGAACTTCGGAGCGAGGTAAGTCTCTTTTCTACCTTGTAAGAGGGAATTAACCACATAGGTGAATCGATTTAATATGTGCTTCTATTTGTGAGGGCTACGTACGCACGAGGTGACAAGAGTCCGTACGAGCTACTAATTATGCTTATGTCCGGGTAGTCTAGGACCAAAATCATGCCATACTTGCGATGTTTGCACCCTAATTGCTAATTTAATTGCTTAAATTATATTGGAATTTGATAAAGGAATTGTAAAAGGTTAAACTTCTTTTACTTGAGTTTTGGACGGGTCACTTGACCGTTAATGAGAATTGGTATTTCTTTGAATATTAGCTCCTTTAATAATCTTCAATCGGTTGTTTTAATGTATTTTCTCTTCTTGTGGAGCGGGCCGAACGCCTCGGTAGCAGACAGATGCATCTATGGTTCGTGTCATTCGACCCTCGGCAGTGCACAGTTTATATTTATATGTTGGATCGGACTGTACGACCTCAGCATAATTCGTGTGTAAAATTTTTCCTGGAGTCCAATTATAATCGATATTGTTTTATTGACTTGAGAGATTAATTTGTTAAATGATGGAAATTAATTTGGGATTTACTATCAATGAAAGAATTATTTACTTACTTCTTGTTCTTGAGTTTTCAGCTGTTTCTAATAATTCATGCTTAATTATAATATCAATATTTTATGGTTAGCCCATAATAAGTGTCGGAGTCGACCCCTTGTCACTACTTCTTCGATGTTAGAATAGATACTTACTGGGTACGCGTTGATTTATGTACTCATACTACACTTGTTGCACATTTTATGCAGGTACATATATATCTTGTGGTCTTGTGGGCGCAGAGGCGTGGCTATTGCGGGAACCTAGGTGAGTTGCATCCCATGTTACGAGTCCGCAGCACACGGAGTCTCCATCAAATTTAATACACTCTCCTGTCTAATTTGTATTCCAGACAGATGTTGTATTTTACCATATTTCATAGTCGATGCTCATGCACTTGTGACACCGGGTTTTGGGGGTGCTTATGAGTTGTTCATTATCGTAGTGGCTAAAAAATATTATCACTTACCCTGTAAATTTTTATTTCTCGCTATTAAATTGAAGGAAGTTATGATTTCAAAAATACTAAAATGTGTAATTGAGTTAATCATTTATTGTTGGCTTGCTTGACGGTGGTGTTGGGCGTTATCACGACCTTTAAGGATTTTGGGTCGTGACACATGTTTTGTTCTTGAGCTATTCTTTTCCTTTTCACTACAAGCCGAGTTAATTCCTACTATATAGTAATATATATACATCCCTCATGTGCATTTATTAGAAGTGATTTGCAAGTAGTTCTTTGAAAATGAGAAGAGCTAATACATGGAATGTTAACAAAAGAGTAACATTATTTCTTGTTATAATACTAGGCAATAACCGACCAAATTACAAGTAAAGTTCGTGACAGAATTATATCTAGAAGAATTGGCCCAAATAGTCTCGGACTTAAATTAAAGATAGTTGTCGGATGTATAGTATAGGTATAATTCTTGTATAATATACGTGTAATTATGTATAATCTATATATAATTTATATATATCGGCTAGAAATAAATAACGAATTTGACCGTCTGTTATCTATGCAATATAAAATCAAACCCACAACATTGATTTTCAGACAATATTCCACAAAATTTGAACGATGGAGAGAACAATCAAAGTCCATAACGTCAATATGTTTCCGCTATTCCTGTGACTAATTTTTTTTTAATTTGTTCCAAAAAGAATACATCATTTTATATTCGAAAACTTTAATGTTAAAGTTTCAAGTTTATTGTTATTGACATGCTCTTTTACTCATTGAAATGTTATGACATGTTTAACACCACAAATTCTAAGAATATTGAGAATAACAAACGTTTGAGTCTCTCAACATTATCCTCGCAAATTAAAGAAACCCTCGTCCATACGTTAAAGAAAAACCCTAAAGACTAAAGCTTCCTCGTTAAGCTTCGCGTTGCGTGGCTTCTCTGATAAGCTTTAGTTTCATAATAATTATATAATGACTATCGTTTTGAATAGACAACTTACTAAAATATCCTAAACGTGTCGGCTGCTACAAGTTTGTGTAATGTACTGAAAAATAAGAATTTTTCTACTGTTCTTCCTACATCCTATAGCCTGTCACCTAATATAAGAGAATATAATTCTATTACTAGCATAAAATTTCAAAAATGTTTATTTCTACATAAAATATTGCTACACAAAAATTAGAAGAAGGTATATATACATAATGTTTGAAATTAAAAAATGTGAGGTGCGGGTTAGTTTGTTACGCGAAGAAAAGAAAGAGTAGAAAATACAAGTTAGGTTGTAATTCAGCGTTTGTTACTTTCACATTTGTTGGTACGTATAAATATGTATATACCAAACCTATATATATATATATATATATATATATATATATATATATATATATATATATATATATATATATATATATATATATANATATCGGCTAGAAATAAATAACGAATTTGACCGTCTGTTATCTATGCAATATAAAATCAAACCCACAACATTGATTTTCAGACAATATTCCACAAAATTTGAACGATGGAGAGAACAATCAAAGTCCATAACGTCAATATGTTTCCGCTATTCCTGTGACTAATTTTTTTTTAATTTGTTCCAAAAAGAATACATCATTTTATATTCGAAAACTTTAATGTTAAAGTTTCAAGTTTATTGTTATTGACATGCTCTTTTACTCATTGAAATGTTATGACATGTTTAACACCACAAATTCTAAGAATATTGAGAATAACAAACGTTTGAGTCTCTCAACATTATCCTCGCAAATTAAAGAAACCCTCGTCCATACGTTAAAGAAAAACCCTAAAGACTAAAGCTTCCTCGTTAAGCTTCGCGTTGCGTGGCTTCTCTGATAAGCTTTAGTTTCATAATAATTATATAATGACTATCGTTTTGAATAGACAACTTACTAAAATATCCTAAACGTGTCGGCTGCTACAAGTTTGTGTAATGTACTGAAAAATAAGAATTTTTCTACTGTTCTTCCTACATCCTATAGCCTGTCACCTAATATAAGAGAATATAATTGGCCTTATTGGCTCATGTTCAGACTTGGGGAAAGATTCAGGATTTATGCCTTGTATAAATGCAGGTTTCAAAGGAAGTAATTCCGCCGGGTGCCTCGTCGAGAGGGTATTCATGTGTTATAAGATGTATGGAGTTGATTATATTCGGGACCAAGTCAGAGCGGGTGGCTCTCAGTAACCGTCCTAATGGATTCAAAAGAGGTAAAGTATGGTGCCTAATGATTTCGAGCCTATAAGTACAGTTAAGAATCAAGCTTTGCAGCAGCTTATTAGTGGAGGCTCAGAATGTTCTATGATGTGTTGACTTGCAGTGTAGCACTTGAGAGAAAGATGAGAAAGGACTTCGGATTCGTAGAAGGATTAGCAGAATGGGCATATCAGTTGAGGGTGCGAATATGCGCGCAAGGAAGGTATGAAGTGGTTCGCGGGATTCGGGACAGCATGGTCTCGTGAGTCGAGGTCACTCGAGATGGGTGCAGATGGAGTATGTTATGTGACGGATGGAGTTAGTATTATCTCTAAGGCAATCAAGGATAAATTGGGAGAAGATGGATTGATTGGCCATAGTTGAATTTGGCATATNATAATGTAATATTTATTTAATTATATCTCATCAATGATTTCATTTTATTTGAGTTATACATTAATATGTATAATGTATAATATTTGCTTATAAGTTATATTATTTAAAAATTAAAGATATAAAATAATTTAATATTAAATGGTTATATAAGAAATAAATATGAATTATATTGGATAAATATGTAAAAAGGAAAAAAAGAAAGGATTTGTTTTATAAAACAAATAATATAATATAGAAGAGAGAGAAGAATATAAAAATTATATTCTTTTTTGATGTACAAAATAGTATAATGGGTTGAAGTTACTTTGTATTATTTTGATGTTTACACCATTTTGGTGTAAAAAAAAAAATAATGCAAGGGTTGGAGATGCCCTAAAAATCAAAGATTAGCATGAAAAGCAACTTCAAAACTGCTATTTATTCTCTATTATACATGTGTATTCTGGTACATGTGTATTTATATAAACATAACCAAACTTGACGTCCAAGCAACTGATTTACTTTTCTTTGTTTTTTTTCTTCCCCTCTCACCTTTTCTTCTCATCTCAAGACAAAAAAAAAATATTAATTCCAAATTAGTTTGTTCCTATCACAGATATTTCTGACCTTTTTTCTTCCTCTCTCTCCTTTCTCTCTCCTTCAGGGTTTTAACTCAGCAGCTAGTATAGGAGCAGTTCCAGCAAAGAGAAGGAGAGAAACTACAAAAAGTAAGAGAGATCTCAATTCCTTCCCAACAATCAAGAACGAACATGAAAGGAGAATTTTTTTTTTTAACTTCAATAAACGTGCTTAAATACTAATATCTTCCTTTAATTTCTGCTTAATTATTTTTCTCCTCGGCTAGCCTTACTTATGTATTTTCTTTCCTTTATTGGGATTTTGCTTAGCTCGGAGAGGAGGTAAACGAAGCTGGAGAAAGAAATTAACCAAATTAATTAATTTGGGATGTGTGCATAGTTAAGAGCCATATATATATACAAAAGAGAATATGACATGGTGCAGTCAATCCAATGGTGAAACAGCCCTACCAATAATATCAACTCCTCCATCAGATGAAAATAATATTATGATCACATCAAAAGTTGATCATGAAATTAGAATCATTACTTGTCCTTCGTGTGGACATAGCATAGAGCTTCAACATCAGGTATTTGATATTAATGATGATTAATTTTCTTTTTTCAAGAACAGTAATTGTTCTTATATCATTGAGCTAAATTATTACTAGGTGCAATTTAATTTTCTTTTCTCCTTACATATTTTGGGAGTGTAATAAAAATTGAAATATAGCAGAGAGGAATACATGATTTGCCTGGTCTACCAGCTGGAGTGAAGTTTGATCCATCTGACAATGAGATTCTTGAGCATTTGGAAGCAAAGGTCATTTCAGACACCCTTAAACTTCATCCCCTTATTGATGAATTCATTTTGACCATTGATGGTGAAAATGGCATTTGCTACACTCATCCTGAGAAACTACCTGGTAATTTTCCATTATATTCTAATTAAAATCATCTATTTACAACAATGTATTCTGTACGTTGTGTGAATTCATCATAAATTGACCAAGTTAATTATACTTGTTGTTGTCAATCTACTGCAATCCTCCTTCTTTATCCGTGCTTGGTGCCGATAATTAATTTGAGTAAGCTCGCACATGTAGAGTTTAAAATCACATATTTCAGTTCACAAAAATAAAAGTAGATAAACTTAGAAGATTTGATGTTTTCTTGTCCGGATTTTATTCCTTTCAGGAATTATATTCGGATTTGTTATTAGAGTGGGACACGCTTATTCACTGTTAAATTAAAAAAATTCCTAATTTAGGCAATTTTTCTCTTTACTAAGTATTAATCTTTGATTCATTTTTTGTGAAATCTTCAATCAGTTGGGTATAACTCTGTATGTAATATAGTGCTAAGTGTCAAAATTAATTACTGATGGTTTAGGAAATTTCCCAAGTGAGACGGTTTGCTTGCAAAAGTTAATTGCTTATAGCATTTGGATACTAAACTTGTTTCATTCTTTTTGTGGAAACTCCACGCCAGGAAATTCAGTTAATATATTCTTGCTTTTTCCTCCTTTTCTGGCTTTTTATTCTACAAGTTCATGTCCTTTAGTCACTTGGTTTGAGGAGTTGTTACTAATAAAAACACCCTTTATTAGTGGCTGTTGAGGGTGCCAACTGGAATATTGAGAATTTCATTCTTTCTTCAAATGATCCAAAAGTGGAAAATACTTAGTTAAGGGAGCTAAGTTACCTATTTGGTAAAAAGATATATTCATGTTATATAAATCAGAAAAGATAAAAGATTCTTGCTAGAGTTTCAAAAATACCAATGTCAATGGAGTGTCTCATGGGAGTCTTATACAACATATTATACACCTAATTATGCATGAGTTTAAGTTCTATCCATTGACGGTACTATAAGAAATTAATATTTACATAATCAGATCACTTAATAATTAATTGCCGGTAACTCTATATAATACACATTATTAGTAACATGGAATAGATGGTAATTAAGTAACGTGTTGTAATGATTTTTATGTGATTATTTCATATTAAATTAAATCAGTTTTACGGTAAGCAATGAGCGATTCATAAGATGGTGAATTCAATTAGATGAAATAGGAACAAGCTGGCTTGACGTATGGTAATATGCTATGCCTTTTACCATATATATATAGATCAAGTAAATTCTTTATTCGTTACTGAAAAGAATATATGTAAGCCGTAAGGAATCGTTTATCAGCAAGTTAATATGAATATGATATGTTCAGTACGTTATTTTCCAATTTTATAGTCAAGTGTTAGATGACTTAATTAATTATTGCAAAGAAGAAGAAGACAAAGAAAAATAAAAGATGAATTGTCTAGTATGATTGGCTCCGTTACCTCTAAATACTGAAAGTTTTGCTATTATAACTGTTCCAACTTCTTTCAAAAGTTATGTCATTTTTTCTAAGAAAACGTTCATTCCTACTGTTTGCATGCACTATATGTAGGGCTGAGCAAGGATATATAGTAATTAATCTATATACACTTCATTTGCATCTATTACCCCAAAGAAGTTGTGGATGCATTAGAATTTTGTACTATTTGTACCCATTGACTAAATTAAAATCCTGAATACGCTACTGCATGCAGGGGTGAGCAAGGATGGTCAAGTGCGTCATTTCTTTCACCGGCCATCAAAGGCATACACAACGGGGACTAGAAAACGACGAAAGGTCCACACTGAAATTGATGGTGGAGAAACAAGATGGCACAAAACAGGCAAAACCAGGCCAGTTTACATAGGTGGAGTTTTGAAAGGTTACAAGAAAATTTTGGTACTCTACACAAATTATGGTAGGCAAAGAAAGCCTGAGAAGACTAATTGGGTAATGCACCAATATCACTTAGGTGAAAATGAGGAGGAAAAGGATGGAGAATTAGTTGTTTCAAAAGTTTTCTACCAAACACAACCTAGACAATGTGGATCATTAAGCATAAGAAAACCAGTTGACAACAGCAAGTCAAGATCTTTAAGCAGGCAAGATAGTCCTATCCTGAAAACAACGAATTTCGTCGATTATTATAATCCTCCTTTCATTTCATACGATATTGGGAGCCAAAATAGAGAGAGCTCACCTCAGTTAATCCAAAATTTGGTTGTTCATGGTGATAGCTCATCATTTGTTATACCTTCAAATGCAAGCAAAGAGAAATGAGGAAGTAGGTAGCAAAAACAAAATTACTAAAATAACAGATGAAAATGACTGTTGGGGTGGTGGTGGTTGTTGTAATGTGTAATAGTCAAATAAGTTAAAGATTGAGCTGCTAATGAGGAATTTATTGTCTTTACATTGTCATGCAAGATAGAACGAACTTATTAATGACAATCTTGTTATTTAGGAACTTTCTGTCTTCAAAGTAGATAATACAGTGTTCATTATTCATCTTTTTCCTCAAGAGTTATGTATTAAATTTAAGATGTAAGGTGAACATCTGCTTAATTTTGTAATTTCTTTTTGTTGTTGTAGTTTTTGTACCTCTTGGCAGTGTAGATTGATATGTTATCCCTCTCTTTTCATGCTGGTGCATTTTATTTTTTTTAAGTAACCCAGTGGAGATCTGGGCGGTGTTGTTTTAGCAAATACGCACAGTGAGGGGACAAGAAATTGATTGATTGTTTGATCAAGGGAATTCTTTTCCTTATTAAGGTTTAAAGGATACTGAGGTAAAAGAAATTAATTGATTGCTTGATCACAACAAACAATTTGGAAAATTAGATGATCTCTTAGAAGTTAGTTGTTGGACCTTCTTTTCCTTTAATTATCTTAGGAGAATATTATACTAAATTACAGCTTCATAATTTGGCCTACTAAGTATTCTGAGTTGTAGCTTGTGAGAGCGGCATGTACCATCTGTTTGACAAAAAAATATAGATCTTGGTTCAAATAATTAAATTTATGTAAATAAGGGTTAATCTTAGCTAACAATAATATCCCAAGATGGGGTTCTTAAAGAAGCAACAAATACTACGTGGGTATGGTCGGACAGTGACAGTGACATGTTATAAATATTCCAAAAATCAGAAGTAATAAGGTTGCATTTAATAACAATGAATAGCAATAAATGACATTTAAGTAAATAGGATGAGACAATCTCTTGAATATGAGTTATTCTCGTTGGTGAAAAAGTGTAGACAAGAATCTCAATGAAAAGTTGATATTTGTATACTAGCAATAAGATCTGATTCCTTTCTTCTAGTCAAAATGTGTCTTTTTTAACAAATGAATATCATCCCCCCCCCCCCCCCCCCCC